TGTTATTGTTTTTGTTATTGCTTTTATTTTTTGTTTTGTTGCTGTTTAATTTTCTTTTCCAGCCCCCCAGTGAAGGAGCCACGAGCTGAGATATACAGCTCTTTCCATCACTGACAGCACTAAATGGTGAAGCTCACATTCAACTTTTCAGCAATTCCTAGATATTATTCTGTATTACTGGTCTCTTCAATACAGCTGCTCAGCTCCTTGGACCAGAACTGAAACAAGTTTGTACATCTGATGGGGAGGAGGCTTCAATCCAGTGCTCTTCTCAGCTGGCTGGGTTTCCAATGATCACAGTAAAGCAATTAAGCAGCAAAAGAGGTACCACTCAATTTATATGTCACCAGCTTAGGAATGAGAGTTTCATTTATTATATATGGCGGTGTTCCTGAGCAGTCACATCCAGGGTGCATCAGCATGGTCTTGTTTTGACTTACTCACCTGAACAAGACCGAAATGCAATTACAGGCTTTATAATGGCAGAGGATCAGTTTGACTTAGAAATACCCCCTGTGACATCCCCAGAGCTGGTAGCTAAGGACAGCCACCCCTCAGAACTCACCCTATGGCTCACAAACCTTGAGGACCTTCTGTTGTCTTTCTGGCCTGGACTTAGGTGTCATTTTGGACAGAAAAGTCAGGTCATCATAAAGCCAATCTAACACATAGATGCAGAGCCTCCCCGTGGCCTCAGCCTTAGTATACCAGGTTTAAAACATATGCTGATGTTTTTTGCATCATTGGCATCTGTCATTTTTGTGCTACGCAATTGCTTTTGGCAGACCCAGGCCGTACACAGGTTTCCTCCTCTGCAGCGACATTTCACTTCCCTTCATTCTGATGGACAGGTATTTACAGGCTCCTGGCAAATGCCTGTATCTCCTCTGATATGTCAGCTTTAAAATGATTTCAAGGAAAAATAAATATGCAGGAGTGACCTAGCCATGATCTCCTGGGTTTAAAATCAGTTCAAAATTGCTGTAAGAACGAATGGAAAAATATACTGCAAGTTATAACAGATAGATGTTAACCATTCTCCCCCTGCACACACACTCATGTATGATACTCTGTGATTACTTTTTTTGATTGAAGATCAAGTTATACGGAACAACTGTGGTGTAACTGAAGCCCCTGGCCATGGGAAACACTTGCCTTTTTCCAGCTAACAAGATGAAGTCATCGCTCATAAACAGAAGCATATTACAGGTGGGTTCTGCGATCTGTGTGCTCAAAAAGAGCAAAGCCTGCTCTTCCTGCAGGGGTAAACGTGGCAATGGGAAGAGAGGAGCTTGCATTTCTGAAAAAATTCCCTGACTCGAGGTCTCATTTGTCCCATTCTGCAATGGCACTGCATTTCTGTGCCACCTTCCTACAGCTTTGCTGGCAAACAGGACTCCAGCACAGCACTGCGTTGCGTAGGATATTTACGTTAATCAGGGTTATGTGGGATCCAAAGTCCAGTGAAATAAGTACATGGGCATCTGCAACCTGCACTGAGCTGCAAAATCAGCTGCTTTCACCTGGATGTGCCAGTAAGGAAGAATTCGATATTAACCCAGGTTACACTCAGTAAGTTCCAGCATTGTAGCTGTCACACTGTCACAGCACTGTGGCTGAAGCAAGGACTTCATCTCTGCTTCCTATGTCAGAGGCAAAACCATCAGCACTTCTCCAAATTTCATTTTCCTATCCATAAATCAAGAAGAACAAAAGCAGTGGTTTTAAATGGTGGAAAATGAGAGCTGGAGAACCTATTGCTTCCTTGTGCCATAGGGTTACTTATTGGACCCCAAACCTCACCCATTTCTGCCTTTCCCATCCATTTCCCACCCTCTGCATCCACTTTTGCCCCTTTGGTGGCACCATGGCCAGACTGAGCTGCAGACCCCAGACCAGGGGACCACGATGACATCAGCCCAGCAGAGCACAGGGAGCTGCCTGCACGCCTGTGCCTCTCTCCCATTACTTGTTTGGGGAAAGAATTTGGAGACAGCAACATATGGAGCAAGTGGTGAGTATTTCCAGGGCCTGGAAAATGGGAGGGGGACACGCACCACTTCCCGTTTGTCCCAGCTGTGTGCTCAGATCGGATTTGGAGATTAAGGCCGTATGAGATCCTCTGATTTGTGCAGGAAATGGTAAGAACAGCCACTTCAATTAAAGAGAAAAAAAAAAACAAACAGTGATTTTATGCAGAAATATCCCTGCTGCCTTTTTAAGTTGGCGAGGACATAGGAGCAGTGTGAATTCTTTCTGCCCTCCGCAGCCCCATAAACCAGCTGATAGTTTGGGGATGTTCCCATTGTTATCCCAGGGGACATCACCAGCCCTGCACAGAATTGTTGGCAGTGATGTCACCTCATGGCCCTGCACACAGGCAGTGGCAGGGATCTCCCCGAGGTGCCACCTGCCTGCTGCAGGAGCCCACATTCCTTGAGCACTTTCCTAGTTAAAGAACTGACAGCAGATGAAGAAAACCTGTATTCATCAAACCCTGTCTGTTCTTGCCTGCAAATCTTCTGCATTTATTTCACTACTGAGCAAAAATCATCAGTTCCTTTCCACATCAGTCTCAAAAAAGTAAGGGATAAGGTCTGCTGTGAGGCACGAACCAGGCAGGTTTAGGAACTTTAGCTTGTTGCAGACCCACACCATGCCTGCAGGTGGAAGAAATGCACCCTGAGCTGCCACTGCCAGCACCTTTGGCATAAATTCCCTGCAAATTTTAATCTGTGAGCCACAAAAGAAAAGGAAAATCAAACCACATCTCCAACAGCCATCACTGGAAAAAAAAAAAAAAGAAAAAAAAAAAAAAAGATTGCTCTCTATAAGGCAGTCCTGGTGACATTCACAACTGAACTACAGCAAACACAAGACCTGAGGCCACCCCTCTGCAGCACTGCCAGTGCTGCCTCGGGTGCCCCATGGCTGGGAACCCTCTCAGAGCTCCCTGCTACCCACACATGCCTCAAAACAACGCAGCCCCTCCGACCTCCCCTGCACATCAAGCACCAGCAAGGAGCAAAGCACAGACCTGTTGGAGCAGCTTGCCGGGAGGCAGTTTGGATCCTGCTACATTCTCAGACGTTGGGGAAGGAGCCCCAGTGCCTCGCTGCGCGTCGGCGTGCTTGGAGAGATCTCAACAGAGAAAGCTCAGTCCCAGAGTCAGTGAAGTTCAGGGAGGGGAGGGAGGAAGGAAGTGGGAGAGGGACAGAGATTCCCCCACCTCCCTTCTGCACCGTGCAGCAGAGCGGTGGCCCAGACACGTGGCTCGATAAAGCATGCAAGGAAAGCATGAGCCTGTGACTGTAACTCTCAATGAAAGGCACGGAGTGCTCGTGTTATCTCAGTGCTAAACCTCCATCTAGGAAGCTGCTTGCTGATTTCCTAGAGCGCAGCAAGAAGCTGTGCCTCCCACCCTCTGTCATGATCCCAGGGATGAACTCAGTCCAGTATTCACATCCCATTAAGTATTTCTAAGAGCCCAGCGCTTGTGCTGAAGGCCAATTGTGTTGCGTTTGGATAGGGGAATTAAGCACATCTGGAGGCTCTGCGAGGCCAGGAGCTGATTCATGAGCTGGAGAGCAAGCAGTGCCTGCAGCCTTGACCTTTGGCTACACAACCCTGGAGAGCCAAGGCTTCATCCAAAACCTTTTGTCCTCACTGCCACGAATGGGACAATCAATAGTGGTGTTTCTCCTCCCTGCTGCAGACTGGATTTGCAGGTAGATCTCTGCTGACTGCTAGCATCGGCCTTGCATGGCAACAGTGAGCTTCAGGAAATGTGCACTGCTCACTCTTCAGGAAATGGGCACCCTTGGACGTGTTGGAAGGAAGAAAATCAAAGTTTCTAAATATTTTTGCACAATAAACAAACATTTAGTAGTTCACTGAAGATTTTCTTTATCATCTAGTAAAAGCTTTAAAGCGTCAGAATATACAAACCGAAGGGTAACACGAAAAGAAAACACTTAAATCTTGTTAAAATGAAGCATCGTGCGGCTGGGGAGACAGAATTGGCACTGCCCTGCATTTAAATACCACAAACTGCCTCTCCTGTTGAACTGGAGTTCAACAGCTGCTCAGATTTGCAGCAGTTCACTGCAAAGCAAGAAGGTGAGAAACGAAAGAGCACGAATCTCCTATGCTTCATTCGCTTTCTAGGAAATTCAAAGCCAGAAAAATAGACAGTTCCAGTGGTTATGCTTGTGTAGTTCAGAAGGCTGTCCGCTTTCACTTAGGGCCTGGAAAGACCCCAGTGGGTTATCAGTGCAAACATGTTGCTTGGACCGTGCTCTAGGAAGCCTGTGCTTTAGCAGTGCTACCCCTCTGCACCAGCGTGAGATAAGCACATCTCTCTGTATACATAAGAAATAAGGCAGCCAGCTGCACTGCAGTGCCTCACATCACATCTTCCAGGGAAATCAGCACACATTTCAAGACAAATCAAAGTGACCGGAGGTTCAAAGTGATGAGCAGAGTGCTGTGTGAACTGGAGAGCAATAAACCTCCCCACGTTCTTGTTATTACCTGTATTCAAGCTTACATTCAAAGTAGGCTGCATATGAGTGTCCCACACTGCCTGCAAGTGAAGCCAGGGCTGTGACTGTGACCCTCAGAGCCTGTCCCAGTGCTATCCAGACTCTCGTGTCCCAGTCTGTGCATGGAACCATGGTTACCCCATCCCAGCTACAGAATTCTCACTTGCTCTTGCTTAACTTAATGCAGTTGGTGGCTGCCAGCCCTCTAATTTGTCAAGATCTCTCTGCAAGGCCTCTCTGCACTCAAGGGCATCAACAGCTCCTCCCAGTTTCCTGTTGCCTGCAAACTTATTTAGTATACCTTCAAGTCTTGTATCCAAGACATTTATGAAAACATTAAAGATGACATTGGTTAATTAATTTAAGCATTATTTGAAACTAGAGGCACAAGAAGAGCTACTGTAGAAGTCTTACCTTTCAAGAAACCCAGTTGGGAAGAGTAACCAGCCCAAAGAGTAGCAGGGTCCTATGGCTTTATTTACAAGGAAGCATATACATCACAGCTGATGGCACAGCTTGTGGAGCCATCTGGGAAGCTCGTTGAGCTTGTGGTAGACTGCACAGACAGCTCAGGGGGGCTCAGACATGCTCATTTTCTTGGTATCAAACTTCTTGCTGCTCAGCAGCTTGCACCACCTGTCCTGCAGCCTTGGCGGGGTGGCTGGCTTGCTCCAAGACTTGGTTTCATCAAGTACTGAACTCTCCCACCAGCATTAGAAAGGAGTGGCGAGAGCTCAAGGTCAGCTAGAGGTGAAGATTTCAACATCATCAAAATCCAAAACTCACCCATTAGAACGTGTTTATTTGAAAACATGCTAAAATGCCTGACTAAACATCTCAGAGTGAAGGGTTGAGCTTGGTCCCTGCCCACAGTCCATCCCTACTTTGCAGTGCCCTCCTCCTCCACACGGTGGTGGGATGAGGCTCCTCCGTTCATTCAATGGCTTCCATGATTTCCATGACAAGAGTCCGGGGTCCGGTCATGATGAGGCTGCTGATGGTCTGATAGTCCAGATGCAAAACATACATGCCATTCACTGAGAAAACAAATTGGCACACCTGCAGGGAGAGGAAGGGCTGGTTACATTCAGCTCATGCCTTCAACAGCAGCTTCTGCTCAGGGCTGACTGCAGCCAGAGGCTGTATTGCCAATAACTGCAAAACCCTGCAAAGCCCAAAGCATCACCACTCTGTAAGCTCCACTAATAATCACTGTGCTATAATCACTGTATCATAAAAAAAAGAGACCAAAGGGATTTAGACTGAGCTAATGGAGAGAGAAGTTACTCGTTTATGAGCAGTGGTTCATTTCACAGATGGAAATGAGGCACAATAATAACATTTAGCAATTTGGTAGCAAATTAGATTAGGTGAGGAGAAACAAACTAGGCTGTGGAACAAATGAAATGAACTCACACGTCTCCTTCCAACCCTGCCTGAAGCAAGAGTCACACTTTGCCTCTGAAGAACCCCATTATTTCAAATATCCACGTGGCTGCAGGGTTGTGTCAGCTTGTGGAAATTGCTCACTCACTGCTCTTCTTCTTATGAGGTAACTGCAACTCCATTTCTTTCATTCACTCCTAAATCCAGGCTTGCAGCTCTACACACAAAACCCCTTCACGCTTAGATGGTGGGTCTAAAGAGATGTTCAAGACCTCCCTTTCTCACACCTGAGCCAGGAATATTGGGCACAACCTGGGGAGCCAAATCAAGGCATCAGTCTGAGGTTATTCTGCTCTCATGCACATGGGAAAGAGTTCCATGCAGAACCACGTTGTTAAAAGCAGACAAACACAACCAGAGCACTGATCCACCTCTGCTGCAGAAGGTGGGATTACCATGGGGGATGTGTTCAGCCTGACAGGCTCCAGCAGAGTACCTTCATGCCTGCAGCAGCAGCAGGTCCTCCTGGGTCCACAGCCTGGATGTGGCACGGTCTGCCTCCTCGGACCACAAAACCCCAGCCCACAGCATCCCCCACGATCTGCAAGCAGAACAGAAGGACTTAGAACAAAGGAATAGGCTGGATAGAGGGGATGCTGCAATTCCTACTGATGCACAGAGCTCTGCTTGAAATTTCCATCTAGCGTGGGAGAGAAGACAGAAAGACCTTCACTCTTTGTTTCCAGTTGCATTAGCAATAGTTGTCGTTACTATGTGGTTTTCTCAGTCTGTCAGATAAAATGAGAGCATCCTTGGGCACCAGGAAACTTTCCATATCAGTTAAATACTTCTGCCACCTCCATGCACAACAGCTGGGGACAAATTGCTCTTGCAAATATTGGTTTCAAGGGCAGTCTTTGTTTCTCTTTTTAATCCTGGAGGTTTTTTCATTCACCTGTGCCAGAGTCTCTCACAGTATCCTTGGCAATGACACATCCCTTCTAATTTCCCCATTTCCTCCTCCATGTTCAGCCACGGGTAAGGATTGACTTCATTTTTCCACTCTGCGTTTGTGGAAGGTTTTTGAACACGTATCACCTGAAAACAGCACACAGGAGCCTTGGCCCTCCTGGACTGTTCATTTCTCTTATGCCAACACGAAGTTCAGTGCAGGGTGTGCACCAAGAGCACACCAAGCATTTCCAAAACACAGGGACACTGTGCCTTAATGCAGAATTTGCAGGATGGGACCAGCCACTCCTAACCTTTCCTGTTCTGATCTCAGCTTGTCAAAGCAGTTTGCCTTAACACTGCAGCCATATGATGTGACTAAAGGAGAAAAAGAATTCTCGAAGGACTTTGCACATTAGCCATATAAATAAATAACAGCAAGTGCACAGCGAAGCAGAATGCAATGAGCCATGAAAGGCCCCAGCTGGCAGAGTTGAAGGGCAGGGCAAGAGCGTTCAGGAGGAGGACAAGTGGCACATCTTCATGCATGCCACACCAACCAGCTGCTTTCTTTTCCTCATTCTTTCCCTCCAATTTCTGCAGCCTATTTAACTTGGGGATCAGATCCAAACCCACCTGAGTCAAACCAGCATAGTGAGAGAGTCAGAAATAGCCAAGCACAAAAGGATCCTCAGGGCAAGAACTGTCCTGTGACATTCACAGCCCCTAGCCCAGGCAGGGCTGTTTTAATGTGATCCTACAGCTCTAGAAATAATGTGAAAAGCAAAAGCCCCAAACTAAGGGGCTTATTTTATTCATGACAGAAAGCCCATCATAGTAAAAGAAGAGCAGCCCTTGAATGTTCCCCCTTCAATTCTACTCCATCAGAAGCTGACAGAGCACATTAATATATGTTCTCTGCAACAGGAAATCAGAAGCTGAATAAAGCAGTGCAAAGGTGACATCTCTGTGACACACAGGATGAGTGTCAAAGTCCCAGCTGCCACAAGACCTGATTGAATCTACAGTTTGTGTGAAGCTGGCAATACAAAAATTGGATTTCTCCTGTCCAGGAAACATTTTCTTTCCTGGATATCCCTCTGATATATATTAAATTAAAGCAGAGGCCACAGCGGTCACTGCTGCTTTCAGCAACAAGGACGTGCGAAGACATCGACCCACTGAGACACACCATGAAGAAGCTGGGATGAGGTGACATGCAATCAAAGTTTCAATGCTGAGAGGTCAGAGCAGCAAAATGTGATCAAAGCAGAAAGTGATCAAAGAGAGCTCGGTGCCATCAGAGCAGTGACACCACTCATGATGGTCACTTACAGTTAGCGTCTTCTTGACGTAGGGGGCCCCAGGGGACAGGAGCTCTTCATTGGTGACGGGTCTCTTTAACACTAGGGCAGAAGGTGACAGATCTGATCAGAATTGAGGGTTTCATACACTAAAGCACATAATAAGGCAGCTCATGCCCAAGGGAACAGATGTGTCCTGTGTAGCAAAAAGGACAGTGCTGGAGCCCAGACCTGATTTGGGGTTGCACTCAGCCACAGGAGGGAAAACCAGAGTGGGAGTAATGCTGAAGTAGGGGTTGGAGTTTCCAGCAAGGGAAGTGATGCTGCTCCTCCGAACTGCTGAGACAACTTTGATCTCCTTGTTGGGCTGGACTGCAAAAGTCAGAAGTAACAGTTACCCAGGGAAGGAACAGATCAGTTTAGTAAACTTCCCACGGCAGCCTGACCCACATCTGAAGGATGTGCATGCACCAAATACAGCATTTGAGTTTAGGCAGAATAAAACTAGCCTTACAGAAGGACCAAGAGCCGAGCTGATGAGTTGTTTTTCCTGGAATGGGGAACTGTGATAGAGACTGCCACTGCACCATGACATCCACCAGCACGCAGGACATGTGGCTACTTCATAAGAAGTCTGGAGGAGCACCCTATGGTGTATGCTGGAGCTACACCTCAGCCCTGAGATGCTCTGGCAGCATAAGCCTCGGTTTCGCACCCTTCAAATACTCAGAGACAGTTACCAGAGAGAAAGCTGGTGTTGCCTGGCTCTGGGTTGAGCTTGCGGAGGCAGAAGGGGCTGTCGGGGCTCTCAGACAGAGCACGGGAGGAATTCTCACTGAGCAGCTCGGTGAGACGTCGCCGCCGTCGGAAGTTGATCCAGAACTGGTAGAGAATGTCAGAGTCCAGGAAGTGGTGCCTGTTGGAGACTGGAGAGGACAAGAGAGGAAGGAGAGGCTGAGGGAGCATGAAAGATGTGTAGCAAACATACCAAGCTATCTGGATGAATTGCTTTTAATGCTTCTGCATTATATATTAGGTTTTTTTTCTGACTGTTGGAGAATGCTTTGTGCAAAGAAGGAAGAGCAGCAGGGCCACCTCTCCAGGACATGCCATCCCATCAGTACATCACCAAGCTCCAGGAGCTCAGAGGGCTCCCTGCCTCACAGATGGAAAGCTGAAGCCCTGTAGGTGGGTGTGATCTGCAGCCCAGCTGAGCTCTGCAACCTCACAAACCAGCCCTGGAAACTCAGGGTGAGGCTCAGCCCTGCAGCCCAGGTCTTTGAAGGACCGCAGAGCAACAGCTCAAATTGCAGCTCAAAGCCTCTGTGGGCAGTGGATTGCTCTGGCTTCAAAGGTCACCGGCTCCAAACATAGCACTAAAAGGCCCCGTTGCTATCTCTAAGTGGGCACTTGACCAGCACTTGTTGCATGCCATGAATGGGGATTTGTTCTTGGCATGACAGCTATGCTCATCACTCGCTTCCCTTCCTCTCACCGTGCTGAATGATCCCGTGCTCCAGCAGTGCCTGGCCCAGCTCCACCGCTTCCCTCCGGCTCTCTGCTTCTCCCTCCTGCACCAGCCACTCCACCATCTCGCAGCCCAGGAACGCCCGCTGGTACTTCACCGAGTTCTCCTCCCTCACCTTCAGGATGGAGCCCTCCACGCTCACCAGCCTGGCAGAGGTGGGACAAGTGCCCGTGATGCCACGCAGCCCGAAGCAAGGATGAGAAGAGTGGGCAAAGCCAAATCATCGCTGCCTGAGAGCGGTGGGAAGGGAGGGCGAAAGGCACAGCTGCATTTACAGGTTTGTAAATCTTCATCCCAGCAGCGGGAGCAGATGCAGAGGAATCAGTTCGGCCGCAACCTCAGCTAAAGGCTACAGTGGAAAGCTAAGCAAGCAACCGAATGCGTGCCCAAATAACGGCTGGTCCAGATGGATGGGGAAGGTGCGTTGTGGTAAGCCCATGTTCATTCTGTGGCGTGGCGGAGCTGAACGCAGTGCCTCCACGAGAGGGTGCAGCAGCCTCAGCTGTAAGAATCTCGATGCTCTCCCATCCACTGCTGAGCAAAAGCGAAGTGAAAGCAATGCAGAGGGCACGGGGAAGTAGAAATCATGCCTGTATGAAGGACAGAAATCACACCTGTCCAAAGGACATCCCTGAGCATCCCCAGAGGTGTTCAAGGCCACAATGGATGGGGCCCTGGGTAGCTTGATCTGGTGCCTGATTTGGTGGCTGGCCCACGGCATAGGGTTGGAACTGGATGATCTTTGGGGTCCCTTTCAGCCCAGCCATTCTATGGCTCAGGATCACAGAGCAGAAAAGCCCTGCTGGCCCTGTACCTGCTGGTTGTGCTGGGACACAAGTCCTAACAGGGCTGATGTGTGTGATTGATGATCCCAATCACACTGCTGCTCTATCACGGAAGAAAAACCTCTGAGGATGTTAAATTGGTTCCCAAAATTTTTGGGCCAATCAACTTCTCACTGTTGTAGAGTGGAGAGACAGGACACCACATCCATCAGCACTTGTTAAGTGACACTGTGCTTGTGGGGTAACTTTGAGTTAGGAAGCTTGCTGGGTGTCTGTGGGAGTGCCCCACTGATGGGCTTGGAAGGGGAGCAGGTATGGAGAAGGTGCATCAAAGCACGCATTAGTTCAGAGCTCAGCTCCTCTCCAAGAAAGAGTATTTCCCAGGGTTGCAGCATACAGAACAGAAAGAGACGAGTTTGCTGTGGTTCCAGCCATGAAGCAGCACAGCAAGCACAGCTGGCAGACCCGAGGCCTTGGGAAGGGACTCACGCACTTCTCGTAAAGGCTCTGTCCTCGCATGAACACCTTCACATCCTTGCTGAGGGGGAAGGTCCCGTCGTCCTTGCGGAAGCGGTACAGCAGCTTGGCGTCCTTGTAGTCCGAGTGCTCATCACAAACTGGAAGGAGGAGAGAAGGAGGTCAGTGTATGTGGGACAGACAGAAGCACTGCACACAGGCTCAGCAGCGCGTTGTCCTTATGTTCTGCTATGGGAAACGTGCTGCGTCCCTCTCTATTCCTCTTGGACCGTGCTGCTGAGCCAGTATCTGAGCCTTCCGTCCCCAAATCAGACCTGCGCAGCTTCTGGGAGAGGTCAGCCCTATGGGAAAGCTCTTGGGACAGACTGACTTCAAGTTTACACTCTGACCCGGTCGCTAAATTGCTTCATTAGAATGGGAATTTTGCCATGTGTAAGCAGACTTGGAGGGGAGGGAAAACAACCCGGCATCACTGCCTCCAAAACTCCACCAAATCATCTCCATCCCTGCCAAAAGTACTTGTGAATTACAATGTGCAATGACATAATGAGAAACTTTTCCCTACCATTTTGTGCCAATTCACTTGTATGGCAAGCAGACCTCAAGAGTTTTTCCTGCAGCTAGGTGCATACAACTGGGATAAAAACCCCAGCTTGATATTTACCTTGGAGATGAGAGTGGTCTATAAAAGCATGGTTATTAAATGCCTGCAACACTCAGCAGGAAAATACTGGGGATGCTGTTTTGAGATAAACTTGGCTGGAAGAGACGACTGTACAACAACTTGACTGAAATGAAATGAAAATAAAATGAAACATTATGGTCCAGTTTTCAAATAAGCCAGCCTTGCAAATATGATTTGAATAAAATTCAAAAGATATATTTCTTTTTTAGAACTTTACCATTTGTTCTTCTGAGTAATGTTTCATTCTCCTTTTGGTGACAAACTCAAGGCTAAAACCCATCAGAAGATCTTGAGTTCAGAACTCCTCCTGAGCAGTTGCGTTGGTGGGAAGCCAGGGCACCAAAGCCTGAGACTCACTAGGCAGAAGGCAGGGTGAGGTGGTTGTTTTAGAAGAGAAAGCTTGGATCCCCTTAACTGAAAGGAGCAGTGATTCAGATAGCATGGGGTGATAGTTGGGAAATAAGCACACAGCCTTGACAGACAGCACCCATAAGAATCATACAGAATCATAGTTAAAAAAGCCTGGGTTAAAAAAGACCACAATGCTCATCTCATTTCAACCCCCTGCTATGTGCAGGGTCACCAACCACCAGACCAGGCTGCCCAGAGCCACATCCAGCCTGGCCTTGAATGCCTGCAGGGATGGAGCAGCCACAACCTCCTTCAGCAACCTGTTCCAGTGCCTCACCACCCTCTGAGTGAAAACATTTTGCTACATGGAGACCGATTTCAATGCATTTCCAGCATGTAGTTGAGCAGCAGCTCGAAGCATATCAGCCCTTTAAAGGCAGCACAGAGCATCTGCATGGAATAATTATGGTCCTTCTGGATACCAGCGGAGAGGAGGGCAAACAGCATAGGCAGCCAACTGCAAGGCAGTCAGCAGACAATCCCGTTTCCATAGGACCAACAACAACTAATGGTCCCACAGCAAGCTGGAAAACCTGCTTGTGTGTTCTGCAGGAGCAGGAGGGACGTGCCCATGATAAGCAATCAAACCAGCTCTGGCAGCCACGTCCGCACAGGTTTAGCCAACTAATGGGCTTATTGGAAATTGCTGGCTGGAGAGATGGAAAAATAATCAGTCTGAAGTGTTAATGGTTAACAGAGAAGTCACTGCTTCAGTGCTATGCTTTTGTGGTAAATCACAGCAGCAGAGCTGATTTTGAGTCAGGGCAGCTTAATGCAAAGGGCATGAAACCCAGCAAGGAGCAGATGGCAACAGAGTGCACTGCGATGATTGGAGGAGGCTTATGCTGATCGCTGCAGAAGAGGGCAGAATTCTGTGACTGTCACCTGCTTCTGTCTCCTTGGCTCCAACCAGATGGCCACCACGTCCCAAAGACCTGTGTTCGGGTTTGCAAGAGAATGCAGCCAAGGCTGGCAGCTCAGCCCCCAAAACTGCCTACCAAGGGCAATGTAAAAACCCTGTTTTATTCTTTTGGTAACAAAAGAAAAACCTAGAAATCAAAACCAAAACCATTTTGGCCTAAAGCCCTAAGATCTCTTTGGAAAACCTTGTTTAAGATATATCTGAAGAAATCTTCACTGCAACTGAAAGCATTTTCACTAAAGCACCTCTGCCCTTGCTTGTCCAAGCAGAAGATGCACTGCCAAAGGCAGGGGCAGGGCAGAGGGAAGCAGCCCCAGCTGTGGCTGAACATCTGTGCATCTTCCCGAGTGCTTGGCTGAAGGCTGAACGTAGAGCCCAGCTGCAAGGCTGTGCCTCTGCTAGGCAGAAGCAGAGACTAGACCAGCGGTCGTCCCCTGGGGATGCACTGAGAATGCCACACACCATGGTGGATGATGTAATGGTCCATCAGCTTCTGCATCAGGCGGATGCCCGTCTCTCGATCTGGGGCTTCCTTGTGGTCAATCAACCAGTCCGTGAGCTCCTTTGCCACGAAGCAGTTGGGGTAAGTTCGGAGGTGGTAACGCCTGTCCTTAATGAGCTTTCCATCATGCAGGCGAAGCCTGGAGAGAGAAATGGGCACAGAGCACAGCTGGCTTGGCATGGACATCTCAATTCAATAGCCCAGCCCAGCCTGGAGAATCTACCGATGGGTTGGGACTCCTAGAAAGCACCCATTTAAAGCACCCATGATTTAAAAATTATGTGTAACCTCTTGACTTTTACAAACTGCATCAATCCATCCCCAAGATCCTCTTTTCAGCATCTCCTGTTCTCCCACTGCCATTTTGTGCACTTTGTAATTGTCTGAACCGGACTCACTTTGAGCCATGCATGACTTTGTGCGTGAAATAAGCCTCTAAAATCAGCTAACCAAAGGGCCAAAGTACAGGAAATAATAATTGTACACGTTTTCTGTCATCTTGCATGGCTCTGTGCCTAATTTTCCTCCCCATGTCTATGGAAGCAGGAACATCATTGCCTCCAGGACAAGGGCTGGATGAGAGCACTTGTCCTTCCAAGAAGGACAAATGCCAGGCAGATCTGTGCTCTCCTTTGTTCCTGTACACACTCACCCACAGCACACGTGAGCACACTGATCCAAATCACACACACATTAGTTCTAGCTCACCCAGACACAGCGCTGCCTTCAGTCCATCAGCAGTCCTGGCATTTTCTGGTTCAAACTGGGACAGACTGGGGCAGAGTTGGGCAGAACTACAAGTGTCCTGTCCTGAGCACCCTGATGTTATGGCTCGTCTGTAGCTCTGATGGAAAGATACATAAGAAGGAAGGCTGCTCAGGTGGGCACGGCTTTGGCTTTTCAAAGGACTTTTACAGCCAATGAAGCCACAGAGCACAGAGAACTTTTGTGTCCCAGCCAAAGCCAACGCAGCCTACAAACTCCTGCCCTGTAGTCTTTGCTGTTCCCAGAACACCAACCCTGGAAAGTGCCCAGTGCATACAGCAGACTCAGAGAGATGTTTAATTAATATCTTCTCTGTAACTCCAGGACATTTCTGCTTTCCAGTTATTCATTTCAGCTCACAGTTTTGCCTCTGACTGGTTTATTTTACAAAGGCATTAATCACAGCAGCATTTCTTTAATTCCTCAACTCCTTTTGTTCTTTTTGAAGAAGTTCTGTGTACAGCACAGCGTACGTGGTGCAGCCTGTTGGACAATAGCTTTAGGTACCATACAAGAAGCAATAAACTCACTGACATCTATTGGATAATAATGGATTATCCTCCAATATAAGGATTAATTAGGGTCTCAAAAGTGTTAAGATAAAACCTCTGTTGAATGAAAACGTCCTAAGTGATGGCTGCAAGTAGTGCTTGAGCTACTTCAGGCCAAGCTCTTAGCAGTATAGGTCCAGACCTTTCTGGTAACCCCCAGAGAAACACAGCAGGATGTGACAAAGCAGAGACACAAAGAAAACAATGCAAATGGTGAAACCCAGTGTGCCATGCAGAGCCAGCTCCTGGTTCCGCCTTGACTGGCCTCCTTCAAACACTGAGCTCTGCGTCAGCATCTTACTCTCCTTACCAGGAAGATTCATTCCCACAAGTAACCAACATGTATTCTGCATATTGATTTTACCTGAAGAGAACAGCTTACCCTACTGCAGACAGTTGCCTGCTATTTTTACAGTTTTGAGCTCTTTTTCCTTCCATTATTTTACTGTGCACCCTCCAATGCAATCACACCTGGACAGCTGCCACCGCAAGCAGAGAGGCTCCTTCTCCCCACCCAGACAGCATCCCCCAGTGCCAGAAGTGATGAGCAGGCCTTTCTGATGTATTTTATTTCCCTAGAAACCAACAAGTGGATGCCACTCTAGAGGAATGTTTGTTGAAGATAGGAACTGTTTAAGCAAGAGCCATCCATTACTGTTAAGAGTTTGTGGAAGTCTACAAGGACCACATGTGTATATATTTATACACACACACACATCTTGACACTTAATGACACAGACCATAATCACACGAGGCAGTCTAACGCAATCTATCACCATGCTGGGACAACGAAGCCAGTGAAATGATAATTGTTTCATAACCAAGCTTCAAAATAAAAAAAAATGTTAAGGAAGAGCGTGTAATACAATATTACGACTCTTCTACATGCCAAAACCTTTCCCATGTACATATTGCTAATTCAAAAGGACAAAAAAATGAAATAAAATGCTTGCTGGAACATGACAATCAGCTGTTGTGAAACACTCTTAGTCTGGCACACCCGCTCTCTGCTAGCACATGCTCTTACTTTGGATGGGCAGCACTGGGGAACCAACTTGTTCCTTTGTCAAGGTCACTAAGAAGACATCTTTATTCATCACATTCATCCTGCTTAACCTTGCTGAAAGCCAACAGCTTCCTCTCGTTGGAAAAGGAGCTGGGTTTCCTGCATGGCAGCTGGACAGCTGAACCTTGGAACCTCCCGTAATGATAGAGCTCTCAAGGATGTGAACACAAGGCTGCATTCCCACAGTGATTAAATACAAATGAATGACCCTGAAGGCACATCATCCAAATGATGTTTTCCTATCTTTAGAGGAAGATGAAAAATCATAAAGCTGAGTGCTCAGTAAATGGAAGAAACAGTCACAAAAGCACCCCTGCTAAATAGCTGCTGGAGATGAACACTGATGCAAAACAACTGCTGCAAAACTCAGCTCGCTGCTCTCCCATGTCTACAAGAGCACAAAGGCTTTAGGAAGGGGAGAGCCCTGGATGCACAAGGCAGCCCACCCAAAGCAATACAAAATGCAGTCTTATTTTCCCTTTTCTATTTAAAAGCACAAATAGGAAAACAGGACTTAAATCCCAGAAAGCAGTTCCAGCAAGAACAGCTGTACATTCCAGCCTTCTCTTTCACCGGTGCTAAACAATGGATCCATAGGCTTCCTAAGATCATTCTGGTCATGTAGTGTGATCTGAACATCAGCCCAGAGAAGGTCCCCAGGGACCACCACATCAGGTACCCACAGTTCCAAACAGAGGTACAAAGCAGGACCCATTCAGCCCTGCACCTCAAAGCGAGCCCAATGCATCAAAATCTTCACACTCTGCTGAACAGCCTTACAATCTGAGCATCCAAATAAAAGCACTCACCTGGACAGCACCTGAAAGCACTGTTCTGTTCTTTGTAGGAAAAAACTTTCCTTCTCTCCCTTCCTTTTGCCCAGGACATGAACTTACTGAGAAGATTTCCTTTCTCAGAGTGATTAATGCAGCTTAGCAGAGTTAGTGGCGAACATCTGGTTCACCTGACAGTAATGAATCCCCAAACTGCACCCAAGGACCTGCCTGTACTTGAGAAACCCAGGTTACAGAGGAGCGTGAATTCAAAGAGCAGCGGCTGCTCCAGAGCACTTCTGTACAGATCAGCCATTTGTTGCAATTACTGGGGCCTCTCTTACAGAATGCCACCCAGGAACACTCACCACTCAGTAAAACTGAGGTGACTTTCACGCCAGATTTTACAACTGAAACACAAAGACCGACAGCAGAAGATGCAAGGAATGCCTGACACAGCAGCCTTGCAAACACAGCAGTGACTGAAATGGAAATTAATACTTCCATCCTTCTGGGGAGAGGCTCGAGACCCAAACTCCTCTCCCACTGATTTCTTTGGGATGTGTTTGTTCCCTGCCACCCCCAAGAAGCATTTCCTCACCCCTCACTTGCGCAGCTATTTCTGGCTGGGAAATGAGTCCTGACACTGAACAGACTTCATGCTGCAGCCAAAACAAACTGAGAGGGATTTGCAAACTTGCTAGCAAGCCAAAGAACCATAAAGACAGAGCAAAGGTTTGTTTGGCTGGATACAATAGCGAGGAGGCAGGGCAGGAAGCAGAGAACAGGGAAAACAAATGGTTGAGATTTTCTGTAGATGCAAGAGCTGATCAAGGCATATTGAGTGTGTGTGGGAGAAGGCTACAAGGCTGTCTTACACAGCACCTTGATTCCTTCTCCTTGGGCAAGCAAAGAAGCACAGTGCATTTAGTTCTTCTCAGTCCTTCCCTCAAACAACGTCATCCAGCTCCCTGCCTCAGTTTCCCCATCACTACTGACCCAACTGACCTTAGGAAGATTCACATCACTGCTTCCACTCTAACTGCCAGGCTGAAGAGTCCCCCAAGGACAGGCAAAGGACTCAAGCACTCAGTGCAGTGCTCACCCATCCCTCATTCCCCTTTCAGTTAGCCAAGCTTGGCAGAACCCAGCTCTCCACCTTCCTCCCCAGCAGCAATTTGCAGCCTTTCTGTGCACGGAATAAGCTCCCACCCCAACCCAAAGCAGAAGGATGCATCATGCCATACCATGAGCAAACAATTGCATGCTTCCATCCCTGAGCACTCCAGGACTTTTTACTGACGTTTTACCTATCACCTGCAAAGCACAAGTGAAGAGCAATGCAGCTGTGCTGGATAAAGGCCACCTGCTTCTCTCTAACATGGAGTAGGAGTGCTTGGAGAGAGCAGCTCTGGGGCATGAAACAGCTGAGGCCACCCAGCTCTGCTCCTCACAGCACTGTGTTTGCAAAACAGCATTTGCCAGCACTGTGCTCCTGGGTGCAACGGCCCCAGCTCTTCACTGAAGGCCACATCGTTGCCCTTGCTTGCTCACTCTTTGCAATTTTAACAGACAGCTCAGTTATTTTACTTTCTCTCTGCATACCTACCCCCCTTTTTTTGGCTATAGAACCCATTTTAACCCTCAGTCACCCTGGATGAGTACAGAATTGAAAATACAAATGCAAATGCACCTGCCCTGCCCGCAGCACGCAAAAAGCCACAACTTTTTATCTCTTGCACTGAGTTATTGAAACAAAGCAACCCAGCCTTAGATCTGATGCTGCTCTTCCCTGTAAGAAAGTTAAGCTCAATGTTTAAGCCTCATTTGCAACATGAATTGTGAATGGTGTGAAGGTTTGATGCTGCCCATCCCTGGCACCAACTCTTTCCCATTTACTATCAAACAAACAAACAAAAAAACAGATTTAATTTCTGGAGCCAGGAAAGCAACAATTTAGAAAGACAGCGGAGATGGAGCTGACCTTGATGGTGCTACTAAATTCCAGCCACCTTGGCCATGGGCTGTGTATTCAATATGCAGTTCTAGTATTTAGCTGGAAATTATCAGTCCTTGATATGGTGCAGATAAATAAAGCTAAGGTTGATGTGACTCACTGAGGCTGGACAACATAATGACACAGAGCTAACTTTGGGAATCTGGTGCTAGCAAACATGGGCTCTTTATGTTACTCAAGGATGTATTTTCTAGTTATGTGTTTCATAACAGAACAGAATGGCTCGAGACACAAACAAGCAAACTGCTCGAGAGCTGGAAAAGCCTTCAGGCACACACTTGAGAGCAGTTCTGGTATTGTGACCCCATCCACACAAGGAACACATTCTCAGCCACACCGGTTTTGTTGCACAGCAGGATGCGTTTCTGCCTTCCTAAGAAGAAAGCTTAGAAGTAGTTTGAGAACCAGGGCCATAAAACAGCAGAAGTGCCCAAAGGTAGCTTTCAAAACAAAAACCCTTTGTGTTGTGTTGCCCTGCTTCAGGCATGTGGCGTCCAAGGGACAACTCTGCAGGGCGGTCCCCATCCCTGCTTCAGGCTCTGGGTTCGGGGCACCTTGGGGAAGTTCTTGCTCAAGGACCAAGCTTTGAAGCCGTGTTAGCGCAGAGCCCAGGCTCAGCCCTACCTCAGCTGCTCTCCGGCGATCATCACCTCCGCTCGGTAGTGCTGCTCCGTCGCTCTCTTCTTCAGCGCTCCGCTCAGAGGCTCCATGCCGGGCTGCGGGCGGCTGCGGGCCGGGGGCACCGCGCAGCCCATGTGGTGCGGGTTAAGGGGACGTGGGGGGGGGGGGGTTGTGCCCGCGGTGCGGCGGCCGAGATGGATGCGGGGAGGATGCCGGGTCCCGCTCCCCGCCCCTCCGAAGCCGGAGGAGGAGCGTTGCAGCAATCCGGTTTGCCGCTGCCCCGCGGTGCGGCTGGCACGGAGCTCTGCCGGCTGCGCGCTTCGGTTTGCGGCAGGACGGACAAAGCCGAGCAACGGCAGCAGTCCTTTCTTTGCGCTGCACCTTTCCTTTATTTGGTTCCAGATGAAGCATTCCCCAGCATAACTCACACCATGCGCCGAGATCTGGCTCCCAGCCCCTTACCTGGGTTTTTCCTTCTCACCTTCTGGAAAACAGGCTACGAGCAGCTTGGCTCCTTCTTCTTTGTAGCAACCATCATAGGGGTTTGGTGGGATAGCTGAACCCAGGTCTGAGGCTCTGAGCACAAGAAGGATGCATTGCTGCTGGAGCGGGGCCAGAGGCAGGCACGGGGATGCTCAGAGGGCTGCAGCAGCTCTGCTGTGAAGGCAAGACAAGAGCTGGGGGTGTTCAGGCAGGAGGAGGCTCCAGGAAGACTTCATTGTGACCTTTCAGTATTCAAAAGGAGCTTAGAAGAAGGAGGAGAGTGACTTTTTACATGGGTAGATAGTGATAAAGCAAGGCGGAATGGCTGAGAAGTCTTTAAGGTCCCTTCCAACCCAACCATTCTGTGATTCTATGAATAGAAGAGCTGACACTGACCAATCTGGGACTGCACCAAGGCCAAGCTGTTTGTCTGTGTGATGCTCCTGGCTCTGGCCAATACATCTGTCCCAGACACTCATTGCTGCCTCAGCTTCCACAGCCATTTCCATTACCTGAAATTTTTCTGTTTATCTTGCAGTGATAGCACCAAGTAAATAAGCAAAGGAACTGGGATGTGGAAGCTATCAGTGCCATCAGTTGCACGTGCAACTTATTTCCATTAGTGAGACCCAGAGTGCAAGCTGCTGGCTGGGGAAGAGGGCAGAACTCAGAAATGCAGAGGAGAGGAGAAAGGGGAAGGAAATTATACAGCAAAGGGCATTCCAACTCAAAGCAGCAGTAAACTCTGTCCATCTCCCTTTCCTTAAGGGCCCACCTGCCTATTGTTTAAGTAGCAGGATGCTCCATGCCCACAGCATCTTCATTACCTTTACTGACCCCTCTCCCAAGAGCAAATCCCTAAGACGTTTCCCTTTTGTCACAGAGACCTGTGAAGAGAGATTTCAGATGATGACACCTGGGCTGCTCCCCAACACAACCCTCCATCAGGTTTTCATCACTGCACACAACGACTTGTCACACTGCACCCATCCTTCACCCTGAGCAGAATTTGAGCTCTCTGCAGAGGGTCCCACCAGCAGCAGAGCCCCTCTGCCAGCTCTGTGAGCACATTGCCTATTTTAGGAGAGGGCCAGGTTGGAAATTAGGAAGCATTTCTTCTCAGAAAAGCACTGATGCATTGGCACAGCTGCCCAGGGGGTGGTGGGACCGCCATCCCTGGAGGTGTTCCAGAGCCATGGAGATGTGGCATTGAGGGATGTGGTGAGGTGAGGTTGGACTTGGGGATCTTAGAGGTCTTTTCCAACCTTAATGATTCTGTGATTCTATGATCTTCACCTCCCCAAGCAGACAGAGAGAAGGCAGAAGAAGATGCTTCTGCACACAGAGGTGGGGGCAGAGCGAGGATGGAAGATCTGACACGGGATGCAGGCGCCTGCAGCTGTGTTCCCCCAGCTCTGTGCTGACCAAGGAGCAGAACAAGCCCCAGCCACAGCACTGCTGTCCAAGGCAAACAGCAGCATCCAGGGTTGCACCAACAACACTGCTTTTATCCCAGCCCTCTCAGACATCCCCTCACCCAAGTGTGGGGGAACACAGGCTGCCCTTGTGTGCCTTGTGCAGGCTCAACCCACAGCCCAGTGCCACACCGATGCACTGCTGCCAGTGAGCAAATAGCCCAGCCTGGAGAAGCAGCTGCTGCCCATTAGCACAGCAGTTCCAATGTCACACCCTTCTGATTTCACAGCCCCAAGGGTCACCAACTCAGGTGCTGTTAAACCTACTGCGTTGATCCCCACTGACTTGGATTCAGTTTAGCAAAAAGGGGATTCACAGCCAAAAGGTCCAACAGAGGCTGAGAGGTTTGGGCAGATGTATCACATTCTGCTGGTGGAACATGAGCCCACTGGTCAACAGTTTCTTATTAGGCAGTTATAAATCTAAGCTGGAGATTTCACGTCATCAAGTGTCCTTCGTTTGGCTCCAGAAAACAAGTGAGGATATGTTAGGGCAAAAGATAGTGCTATTTTTCAGTGTAAAGACTGCTAACCCCAAGCAATTAAAGTAAAGAAAGGAAAAGCAGACTGCTTGGCTTCAAAACAGCCACTGGAGGGATCTTTTTGGAGGGATCTTTTGAAATCGCAGCTCAGGGTTCTCCAAAAAGTACAAAGAATTGAATCCTGCCTTGCAAAAAAGAAAACAAGCAGTACAATCCTACCAGTAAGCCACCAAAACCAAGAAAGCAATGGAAAGAAACCTAAAACCATCCCACAGTTGCATTGCTTCACAGATCCACAGCCATAATGGAACATCAAACACCGACAGGTGTAACAAACTGATGAATGGTCTCATTAAAAATAAAGACAACAAAGCAAAACAAAACCAAAACCCACACAAATTAAAGCAGAGGACAACAGAAAAACCACCCCTACGCAGCGCCACGTGGAACCTGCATCACCTCCACTTCCCCATTCCTCACCAGCTGCCAGAAGGAACTTTACAACTTCAATAGCCCTTAACTTTCACCCTCCAGCACCAGTGCTGGGTATGAGGATTCAGAGCAGGTCTGACAGGTTTGGCTCTGCTGCTCACCTTTGGGTGAGGCTGTCATTGCTGCATTAAGCTGGGAACTGCAGAGCACAGTGATAGGGGCACGAACCCACCTGGTCCCTCCTTGGGGTCAGAGGGATGCGTGCCACGAAGGCTTAGCACAGGGTGAAAGTGCAAGGTGGGACAGGATGGGAGAGCAGCTAAGCAGACACAGCAGAACCAAACATCACCCTGCACTCAGCTGCTCAGCGCTCCCTTACAGCCAGGTTCCTTCTGCAACCAGGCATGGGGACGCAATTCCCTCTAGAGGAAGGAAGGGGAAGTAAGCATCCCTTCGACCTGCGCTATCAGAGCAGCTGAGCCCTTTGCCCTTCTGTGATCCATTCCGCTCTCCATTGCGAGGTCTGTGGCCAACCCAGAGATGCATCACAGCGTGGGCAACAAGTTTAGGTCTCCCCAGTGGTTTTAGGTTCAGACTCTATTCTTGCCTGCACTGCGGAGCCTATGTTGAGTGGTGAAGTCCTGGTGAGGATTAAATTTGCTATTTAAGCGCAGTGCATTGCAGCTGGGTACAGGGAATTGCTGCAGTCAGCAATGGTTTAGCATTAAACATGGAGGTTGGTGGCCCTGCATGTGGCAGGGGGGTTGGAGGTTCATGATCCTTGAGGTCCATTCCAACCCTGGCCATTCTGTGATTCTGTGAAACCCGTGAGCAGAGTTAAAGGGGCAAATCCTGCAGGAAAGGCAACAAGCTGACATGCAACGAGCACAGGTTGCTGTGAAGAAGTGAATTTGTATTTCAGCATTGATCACAACACCCACATACAGCCCGGCACATTAACTGACATATGTATCAGACATTCATGGCAGGAGTGCAGAAAATACTGTACACACAAGAGAGTTTGTGTCCACATAGTCACAACTGAACACTCACTGGAGGTAACTTTAGCAATCCTGCTGTTATTAAGCAGTGGTACTTCAATCAGAAGTGGGCCAATTTTATCTGTTTTTTTTTTCCCCTGGAGAGACACAATCCAGCCTTCCTGTGTTTCCTGGCAGGAGCTGATTTATTTCTTTACCTGCTGCAATGTTCTGCAGCTTCAGCAGCGCTGAGCAGCCCTCCGAGGGAGCATGACTTGGCAGTGATTAAAGGGAAATACAAGGGGGGGTTGCAAACTGCAAGGAGCTGATAGCACTGCATCCTCCTGCTTGAGCAGCAGCCACACTACTGAGATACATGGTTTGATCCATCACCCAAACAGAGCACCAGTGACTCACTCAGTGGAGGTGACTTTTCTTCCCCTGCACTGCTGATGGGATGCAGCCTCTTGCAGAATAGCTGGAGCCAAAGCAGACGAGCAATGAGTGTTGGCCTATGTGTGAGCCAGTGACTTACAGATGATGGACAAAGGTGCTGCAGTTAGGTTGGATCTTTAGGTTTTACTGCTTTCCAATGGGACAGCTCTGCTTCACTTTTCCTTATAAAAGACTTTTTGTTTCACCCACCAGCCCCATCCTGCTCAGAGCAAGTACTGATGCTTTTTGTGGCGTCCACATGCTTTCAGAACCCCCTGTGCAGCCAGCACATCCCACTACTCACAGCAATCACAGCGGGAAGCTCTGCATCCCACACACACAGAGCACTGCAACAGGAACAGACGCAGCACATCGCTGGGATGGTGATAATGCAGCCACCCAACCCACTGCCCACTTTTCTGGGGGAAAGCCAATGCAATTCCTCCCACAAGAAAGCAGGATTGGATCCTTCTGCCATTTACATAAAGCTCAGGGCACAAAGCACAGACACACCCCCATGGCTGGCTGCCTAATGGAGGGGACTGGAATCTGAGTGTGAAGCATGGCCACCAGCTGAAGGATGAGCCAGAGGAACCTGGCAGCTTGGGAAGACAGACTATAAGAACTACTTCCTCTCCTGCAGTGTGTTTGTAAGCCAGCTGTTAAAATAGTGCCTACAGAAGTACGTGCAACCACTCCAATTTGTATTTTGTAGCTCACTTTAAAGATGCACACAATGTTGTTATTAACTATTCCTAACACAACAAGTTCTTAAATTGTTCTTTAAAGTGAGACTGTGAAACCCCTACAGGACACAGATGAGGCACCTGTTGTGGTCTCTTACAGCAACACAGGCATCTTCCTTTGTCCTTCATCACCCACAGCAGAGAATGTGCAAAACACCGACACCATTACACTGCTAATGTCAGATATTCTGCTCCAAACAGACATACTGGCATTGACACAGTACTTTGCTTGCTTCTTAACTATGAAGTACCCTATTTTGAGTCCATTCTGTGTTGCTAACCACAGTAAGACCAGCTTCATTCAAAAGCCATGTAGTGACACTGATGGAAACCAAAGGTTTTCAAAAGCAATGGAAGTTTCCTGAAAAAGGGCTTCACACTGCTCTGCTCCATAGCTCTTTGCTTTATTAGAATGCTCTTTAAAAGATGACACTGCAGTTCAAGTCTGGTATCACTCTACAGAACAATGAATAGCGTTCACTGAAATTGCCATTCCTGTGAACTTCACATGAAACACGTCAGGAAAATTAAAGATACAGCATTCCAGACTGACCAGGTTTCTGCTGGCCTCAATAATGAAAAATGGCTCTACAATGAGAGATCACCGTGAACCGTTACAATCAAACTCTAATGATGTGCATCATCGTGTTTCTTGATTTCTGTTTAAGTCACTGATTGCTCAATCCATCATTAATAGAATTTAGAATTGCCAAAGTAGAGGGAGAACTGAAATACCTTGGTTGGCTGTCAGCTATTTCCAAAGACCACTGTATCTTTAAATGTATCCTGGATTAAACAAGAAACGTTTTACCTACACTTAAGTTATTGCACAGATCATCACACTCATAAATACATGATGAACCCATGGAATGTTACATGTCTGCCTGGGAAAACAAAAGAAGCATTACCCTTCAGGTCTCAGCACCAGGAATAGCTGGCCAAGCACTTCTTGAACACACAGTGATTGTTAGGAGGCACCAAAACACAAGTGAAATGTTTGAAAGCAATCCCCAACTCTACAATGAGCCTCACTTTCTGCCTGGGAACGCTCTCTTTGGAAGCAGCACTCAGCCTGAACATCTCAATGTTTCTCTGATTTCAGGCTACCTGGTGGAATCCAACTGCTCTGTGCCTTCCAAAATTAAAGCTGTGCAAAGGAAACTGCTATCCATCACTGCAATGTCTGGTTGGTCCAGCTGCAATTTCAGCCACCGCTGAAACACCCCTGGCAGTTTGCTTGCATGACTCAGAACTGCTAATAACTGATGTGGGATTGAAAGGAAAGTGATGTTCACCTATCAAAAAGGCTCATGATCAGGAGTGGGGAAAAAAAAGAAGAGGAATTGAGGAAAGGAGGGGAATGTTAATAAACATTCCCTCTACACACAATAACTTCAAACAGCACAAGCTTCTGAATACACTCTTAAACAAGGAGTCCAATAAAACTGGAGCTGCACAATAGAAAGTGTTCTCATTTCATCCTCTCTCCTTTGGAAGACATGACAAAATGCACAGATTCAAACAAGTCCCTAAAAAAATACCAATCTGTCCATCAAACCAAAGCCAGTCAGCACGTGAGATCTGTGGTTGCTGTTCCACTTTCTGCCATGATGTTGGCTTTTAGTTTCTTCCAGTAACACCTTTCTGGGTACTGTATCAAGAGAGATACTGCTCTGTTGTTGTCACCTGAACTGGAAGAAAAATTAATGCCCCAAAACCTTAGAGGGCTCTGGCCATTTACATGAATGTACGAAATACAATCTCAAAAATGCAGAATTAAAACCAGAAAAGCAAACAAAAGGTTCATTCCAATCATAGCTACAAGAGAGATATAAATAAACCAGTTTTCTCCTAGGCAAAGCACACAGCTGAGAATGTATGCAAACGTCACACCACTGCTGACTGAAAACACTAAAATAAAGTTTATCCCACTACCAGCTATTTCAGGAGCTTTATGAAAAGAAACCACACCGAGTTTGTCCAGAGGAGGCTGATTCAGCTCTGCATCACTCCAGACAGACACCAGCAATGCAGTGCAGCAGATGCACTTTGCTAACACTGCTGCAGGATGTCACAAGGACTGACCATCAGTTGGGGACACAGCAGGGGCTCCTTCACATACACTGCAGTGTGTGGCCCTCAAGGATGTGCATCACAGCCACGTACTGCACCACAGACAAGTGACAAGCAGGCAACAGAGGTAAATGAATAAAGAGACAGAGTTCTGCTTGACATGCAACTAAGTGATAACAGAAGTATACCTGGAAGAGGAGAAGTAGAACAAAATCCCACAGGCAAGGCTGTAACCATCTGTCAATAGCAGCAACAGCAGCGCTGCAAACCGAGATCTGTCCTGTTCTCACCACCCCCCAAGGGGAAGCAGGCATGGCTCAGCCCAGACCTGGGTGCTGAGCAGCACCACACACTGCGTGAGCTTCGGAGCATTGCCTCAGCAGAAGCAAAGGGGAAAAAGAAAAAAAGAAATGCAACCGTTGCAGGACGGGGCTAGAGAAGGCTGGGGAAATATTTTGTTCGTTATCTGAAAAGTCATGCTAAAAATAATACAGAATCAGGACAAATACCTGTATGGTATTTGCAAAGATTGTAAGCCTTTAATATCTGCTACATTTGGGAGTGATTTGTAGGCTCCTTCCTTTTTCCCCCTTTGCTTTTTAGCTGCTGGATATAATTTTTTGACTTATCAATATCACTACAGTCTGGAAAAAGTCTGTGATGAGCTTTTTTCCTCCTTGATGAGGGGGGAAAAAAAAACCAAACACAAAATAAAAACATTTGAGGTAACTTCAGTAGCTTGACCCGATCAAGATCCAGGTGTTGACCCACTGTTGCTCAAACAATTCACTACTTTTAGAAATAAAAGGCTTTTTGGATAGGGATTAAGATCTGCAGGGTCCACAGTACAGAACTCCATGCTGCTGCCAAAGCAAACTATGTAATGATGTCATGAATTAAAGTTCGATTGTTTTCAGGCAGTGTACATTTATGATCCACCACCTAAAATACAAACAAAAAATACAAAAATCTGTTAAAAGATCACAGGTCTTTTGTATACATTATGGTTCATGCAATGAGAAGCACCTTTGGGGGTTAAGACTGAGACAGAACTGGACCTTCTATCCCATTCCTTAATGCTGACAAGGAGTTCCTGAAGCTTCCAAAATTATATTCCTCTAACAGGATCCAGGAAGAAAACGTGGAGAAGTACATGACAGAGAGATACAGTTTGACATATTAAAGATTAATTTGGAAAACATCTGCTTAATCTAAGTTTTACTATTAAACATAGACATCTACTCATCCTGGAAGGCGCTCGCTGCCAGACTCTCTCCTTGATGTACTCATATTTTCCATGCTTTTTTTCTTACTGGAATCTTTTCTTTTTTTCTTCCTAACTCATTTTGCTGCTTAGTTGCCAAACAGATGTCCAGAAGGCCATGAACAGCAGGAAGATCTCATTTTTGTCAGTATAGATAACGTAGATAGATATAAGGAAAAAAGACTTAAAAAACAAAACAGACCCTACAAAATACTCAGAGTGGGAGAAGGGTAAAGGCAAGGAAGGAGGATACACAGCACTGCATCACAGCCATGTAGGAGAGCTGCTCCTCCTGCTTGATGGGTTAAGAATTTACAGTGCACAAGGAGCCATTCTGAACATCCCTTGATAGCTCAGGCTGCCCAAATGATGAGTGGGAACAAATCATCATCTACCTCTAGAATCCTGATCCTAAGGGGAGAAAATAACTTGGAAAATCTAAAAATCTCACAAAGATTAAAAACAAAGCTCCAATAAAAAGTATCTTACAGACCAGTTTGAATTGCCAGACCTCGTCCTGTCACAGCAATCCATAAGGCATTTCAGCTGGATCTACTCAAGTGCAGCTTGCTCGTTGAAAGGCTGCCTTTTTCAAGATACAGCCTGTTCTTTATTTGTGTTAAACATCTCTGGTCATCTCAAATTATATGAAGACTGGATGAATACCTACGAGCTTACACATGCAAGAGTATGGCATTAAAACGTGCTTGTGTCTTTCAAATTGCTCTTAAAGTCAGTGTACCCAGCCTCAATAGTGCAAGGAGAACATATATTTCTCACTATCCATAAAGATGAGAGAATCATCTTTGCATAATAAAAGATTCAGACACTACTTGTTTTTTCTTCCTAAGTTGGGGCAGAAGGAAAACAAATGGAAAAAGCACAAAAAGTAACACATCAGTAAGGTCAACCAAGATACTCCAGATGTGTGTAAAACTTTCTCCTCTCCATCAGCCAGCGTGGTCTCCCTTCCCTAGCTGCACAAAACAGGGTTAACAGTTCTACCAGTCATCCCACTTATCATCAGCTGAAGATGCCTTTTTTGTTGCCTTAGGAGGTTTTTTGGCCTTGTTCTCCCCTCCTGTGTTTTCCCAGTTGGTTTCCCAGTTTTCCCAACTGTCGCTGTTACTGTTCTTGTTGTTGGAGACTGTTCCTGAGCCCCACACGTCCCAGCTATCGGAGCTCTTCTTCTCTGTGGAATTGTCCACATAGGTCCAGCTCTCACTGCTTGGAGATTTATGAGCTTTGGGTGGGTCTGAGTTGCCAAAGGTCTCCCAGAAGCTTTGATCTACAGCACTGTTCTGGTAGCCCTCCCCTCCACTGTTCTGGTAGCTGTCTCCCTCAGCTGGTCTGTTATGGCAAGGTGGGGAAAAAGAGGAAGAGAGAAATAAATTAGTTATCACAAACACAACAATAAACAGAAATGACCACAAGGGCAATGCTACCACCCTCTGCTGAAACAAAAACAGAAGGCAAAAGAATTAGATGCATTTCTCAGAGCAGCACTGGTTATTCTTCTAATTCAAATATATTGCTAACTGTCTACAATATAAAGACATTGATGCATTTGGCATACAAGGTGCAGATCACTACTTTGCTCTCAGACTGAGAACAACTTTATGGGCCCCTGAATTACATTAGAGAAGGGCTAATTTTTCCCCAGAGACAGAATAATTTATTCACTTAAAATATGTATATATATATATGTATCTGGTACTACTGCACTGCACAGAACACACAGGAAACAAAACAATATGTTTTAAAGAGACAGAACATAATAACAAGAGAAATACCTTTCAGAATGATCATCTGGTTTCCCAGAAAAGAAAGTGGTGACATCTCGCCATCCCTTACTCCCAACTCCCTGAACCTGGGCAGAAAGAACAGACATCTCATCTGGACTGAGCCAACAGCAAAAGTCACAACACATTCTCCCACTTGTTCAGATACAGATAACATGTCATTAAAAACTGCACTACGCTGATTAATATTAACACTTTTGATGGGCAATTTCTAGTTGCTCTACAGGAAACACGTTTGACAACCCCATGCTGCTGGATGATTTGAGGGGTACATGAAGTTCAGCGTTTTCATCCACTTCTGTAAGTAAGGGCTTTTGAACCATCTGCTAGAATTTCTTGACCAAAATGTTGGGATTACCTCTTATGTGAAATTACACTTAATGACAGCACTACTCTTTGGATGTTTCATGTGACTAGCATTGATATCTCTAATACTTTATACACTTCTCACTCATTCTCACTAGTATTATTCATGTGAATGGGACAAATGTTGAGTTCTAGAGCAAGTATGACTAAATTACCCCTTTCAGGGTTATTATTTTGAACAGGTATTGGGTTAGAAACACAAATTCTGAAGCAATGCCTACAGAAGCCACTATTCTAAGTCACAGACATGGAGGAGGAACCCCAGAATTCAGATTTCAAGTCGCCAGGCTTTAAGCAGAACAGGCAACACAAAACTTGTGTTATTCAAGTATTCCCAGCACTTTGGGTGCTCAGCTGTTATACAGTGCTTAGCAGACAAACCAACCCTCCTAAGTAACACTGATTCTGCAAGACTTCTGCCCCCAGCAGGCACAGAGAGCACTTACCACAAAACCAAGCAATGATTGCAAAAGAAGACAAAGAAAAAGGTACACAGTGTTAGTAAGTTCAACCACACAAACATAATGCAAGCTGTCTCCATATTCTCCAGCAGAGGTTTTCCTTGTGTGTTTAGGACACAGGTTGTCTTACAGCCTTACAACGTGCCCTCAGTGAAGCCATTGAAAGGACTGCATCAAAGCTGTAGAGCTCTTTTAGTACCCCAACAAGTACTGACCATTGGAAACTGTGTTTCTATTCACCACAAGTAGAGACTAAAGATGTTTTGTGGTCACTCAGAGTGCTGTATAAGAATATGGAGACTGGCTTACTGCTTGGCCTCCTCCAAGAGAAGCAGGCCTCTCCATACCTTGCTGGCCAACTGTGATACCCCCACGGTGACCTCCTCGAAAATTTTCCCCTCTTTCACCTAATGAATCAAAGTATTGGTCATTAGTCATCAAACAGAGTAATGCTAAAGCCTTAAAACAAGCTTTCTTGTGGTATTAACTAGCAACAAGAAATTAACGAGAACAAAAACCTGACGTGAATCACAGTAATCCTAAATCAAGGCTAACAAGTTTCAGATAAGAACAATAATCCATTAAGATAATAATAAGTCCATTGATCTCCAGTGGAACAAACCTCAGCCCTTTGAAATATGTTGAAATGTTCTATGGGCATACACAGAACCTGAGGAAAGCAGCATTACACTAACACTGAGCACTAAAAACAAAGACACCCCCCCAACATTTTGCCCTAAAAACAACATCCCTAAGCTCTGTGAAAGAAACTGCGGATGATCTGGGGGAGGACAAAACCCAATTAGCATTTCAAATCACAGAAGAATCCGAGTAAAGAATGCTGAATTAATAAAATTAATGCAAAGGAATTCCTGTTGTTACTAAAATGTACTTTTCAGATTGGAGATTAACCCACATCCCAAAGCAGTGGCATCGCTTCTCTTCGGAAAGCAACACCAGGCTGCTTTATCAAAGTCCCTACAGATGGGGAAAAGGCATGGAGGTAAATCGATCACCACGCTGCCACAAAAGACTTCAACATTTTGGAGCTGATCCAAACAAACACACGAAATGGGGAAGATGTAAAAGCACTGCTTTCTTTTTTTAACCAGAGGAAACAGGAAGGCAATGTTTGATGTGAGGTGAACCAGGGATGCCCTGCCTGCAGCAGGGAGTGCAACTTGATGATCCTTGAAGTCCCTTCCACCCCAGGCCACTCTATGACCCTAAAACTGGCACTGTCAGCTCTCACTAAGCATTCAGGAGGACTGCCTGCCTTGCTTTTTGGTATGGCCACTTCCTACGTTCACCCAGGTGCCTCTGTGTGCTTTCAAAGTGCCATTAGCTGTATGTTTCTGGTCAGTAATAACTGTAAGAAGAAAAACCTTCTTCACACTATGCTTCCACAAAACAGCACAAACAGAACAGCTCAGTGTTATTTTAGACTGTATTTTGCTGATGAATGCATGCAAAATTTGGTACTAACCACCAGAAGTTTCTGCACAAATACCAAGTAAAGGTTGCAAGATATGTATTTTTTTAAATTTCTATTTGATAACCTGTCCCCATTCATGGGTACACACACACACACACTTTGCTCCAAACTTTACTGTCTCCAGTGAGACAGCAGAGGAACAACAGTGGCTTAAAGATGTTTGGTTGAATGTAAAAAATGCTGACATGCAGAGGAGGGAAAAGACTACCAACTTAACACCCACGGTTATTAGTATTTACAAAAATGATTTCTCTATCCATTTAAGGTGTATTTTTCTCTTAGCCCATGTTCCATTACTGAAACCATGAAATCCATACAAGAATATCTAACAATAAAGACTTTGACAGACTCTTGTGGACACAGAAAAGCATAGCAGGGAGAAATGCATTCAGTAACCCTCCTTTAATGACTTATTAGCTCTGAGTTATTTGATGCTTCCCCTTCACTACTGAGCTTGTACAAGAAAAAAAAAACCAACCCAACAGAAGGACACACTGACAGCTTGTGAAGTTGTGATAGAAGGATGCAATTGCTCTCTGAGTCATTGTGATCATATTCTGTAAGGAATTTACTAGTTCCAAAGTTACCTTTTCCTGTGCAGGTTTGAGAACATTTTCATTTAATGTCTGACCTAACTCTGACGCCTATTTAAAAGCAAAACAAAAACAAAGTCAGTCATGTTTTCCTTCAAACAAAAACAACAACAACAACAACACAGCCAACATTTTCGGCAGACTGGTTTCTCAGCAGTGTCTCCAAAAATACATGAAGCCTTAAGCTTTGATTCGTACAAGCAGAATGAGCTGAAAGCACACACAGTACAGTGCTGAGGAAAACCAAGATCACAGGCGTGTGGCAGAGGGTTGCTGGGGCTGCCCAGAGCCAAAGCAAAACCTGACCTCACAGCAGGAGCAGAAGCAATGGATCGACCAGCCTAAGACCAGAACCTATAGACCAGGCCCTTTGCTGAGCTCTCAGCTGAGAATTTGGAAAAAAACAACATTCACTCTATTTTTTTTTTCCTGTTCTCCCCCAGTGACATCTCATGTAGGATTACATCTGTTCTGCTCATTTTTCACCAATTCTTCTGCCTCGCAGTGCTGCTGGTGCTGTCTGTTGGTAACAAGCCAATGGTTTCTAAGCCATACACAGGAGGCAACATTGTGACAGAAGACTTCTATGATCTCTTTTCAGGCTGCAGGTAGGCAAGGAGAGGAAACAACACACTTCAGAACTTCTCTTACAGCCCAGAACAAGATCCATCCTTGTATAGGGCACCTTACAAAACTGCATGTGAGCCTGCAGCATAAGTCACAAAATGACAATTCTGACCAAGACATCAAGGTTTGCAAATGCTTCACACTGTCTGCACTGGAAGTGAAGCTAAGGAAGTGCTCAAATAAAAAAACAGAGGGGATCAAATAGGATTCTTCAAATATGACAGATCCCTATGAGTATGGCACAAGAGCAGCCTGTCATACTGATGGATGTTACCTAACAGAAGGTGTAACAGACCAACAGTTCAGTTATGCTAAGTGAAGCTATTGCTTGTATCAGCATGAATTCTGATGTAAACCCACATTCTCAATCACACAATTTCATAAATACAGAAAAATGAGATTTGGGTTTCCTTTGAAATCACTATCTTTGCTACTGTTGATTTTGGATAGCACCACTACTAACACTACATCAGTGTGTTTATTAAAGAGCCTGCCTTAAAACAGCACCCCAGGGTAGTTCCTTGAATACTGCATTCCTGGATCAGACATGCAAAAAGGAAATCCTGAAATTGGTGTTTATGGGGAGCATGGAAAGAAGCACAGAATGTTTTCTGAGCATAGAGAGCCCGGATATCTCTATCCATTTTAACCTGTTTTAGGTAGGTTTGAAGGAATGTTACCATACGAAACACACAACATTATTCTGAACAGGTTTGACTGAAGGCACAAAAAAAAAAAGAAGAAAAAAAAAAAACACAGCTGAAGAGCAAATGCACATATTCAGCACGAACAGTGACAAGGAGTCCATGCACAAGAACATATGTGAGGGTGTTACCGGCTCTGGCTGCTGCTTGTAGCCCCAAAACTTTACCCAGACAGCAAAAGAGAAAGAGCAAGGAAGGCAGAAGAAGCAGCTTTTAGCAAAAATTTGGAAGCACTCTTTCAGGCAAGTTACGAAGTTACGTAGCACCAACCTCCACCAACCTCACATCTACTGACAAGACTGACAGTGCATACGTTTGGTCAAAGGACATCAAATGCACTTTTAATGAATCCACCAGTAAGACTGTTATGCCTGTTCTACAGAGGAATAGAGCACGTTTTGGGAAGCAAACGTAAGCTTCAATAACACAGCTTGGGCTGTAGGGAGCCACACTGCTGAGGTCCTTGTCAGTAGATGCGATGAGTTTGTACACTCTGCATTTTATTTACACGTGTTATAAAGGAAGAACAGTTTTCTGAAAGGGAAACTGCTGGCTGAAGTGAAAAAGGAAGACCTGCCAGACACTGCTTTTTTTTTCTTTAGGTAAGCCAAACAGTAAATATTTCAAAGCTTCCAGGTATGAAGTTTGGCTGCTCTCACAGGACGTTTTTGTCCATTGTGAAAAATCACACACAAGCTTGTCTTGCTATGTGGAGCACTGCCATCCTACTGCACACGTCTCCTGCTCAAACACCTGCAGTTTCACATGTGTATGGCACAAGAGCAGCCCAGCCACGTGCCAGGCTGGTGCTGTGCATACAGGCAGTCACCGCTCCAAGTTAAATACCTTATATAAGGCTTATATTACACATGCAAGTCACTCAGAATGCTGGCACTTTTAAGAACCCCCTCCTTTTACAGGTTTTTCCGTTCAAATTTAATTCTATTCTATGCAAATAGATCTTGCTTACATCACAGCTTTGCATAACTCAGGTCCAGCTGTCTCTGTTCTAACCATAGTATGAAAGAGAAAATATTTCTGGAAATTCCATTGTTTTAAGTCAAATCAAATGAACTTAACAACAGTATTAAGCAGTTCACATTTGCAATATCTCAATAAGATTTATGAATGGGTTGCTTCACATTAGATCACCTACAAAAGAAAACTACTTTAAGACAGACACTTAAACTTCACACAAATAAAACAGGAGTGCTTTCTGTCCACAGTAAATTGAAGGATTTCATTCTGCTGCCTTTTGAATGCACCTGACAGTTACACGTACAGCAGATTACCATGGTCTGTTCTCTATTTAATTTGATCACATTAACTGAGTGCAATTCCCATGGAAATAAGAGCTAGAACCTAAGAATTACTGTGCACCACGAAGATAAACACACAAGCCTGAATCAATTGGTAAGACAAATGCATGACAATAACTGACTGTTAAATGTCAGTCAGATCAAGCTTAATCTATGATCACCTTTTGACTTGCTTGAGATCCAAACCTGGTAGCCTGCAAAAAGAATTAAGTTCAAATTTAAAAATCAAAGGTTTTATTTGTAGCAAACATACACATCTGAAATGCTGAGAGATCCCTTCCAAAACAAATGGAAAACTTAGAATTGAATTTACAAGAAATGACTGCTCAGGAACATGAGAGATACAGCAGATAGGAACATTCTCTGCCAATATTTCACACGCCATAGGCAAAGAGATGCAACGAATGGGATTTAGTCTGTCTTGGTAATGCTTTTAAAGACAGATCCCTATTAGAAGCCAGTTCATGGTGACAGAACCACTTATAGTTCACAAGAATTACACTGAAATACGCTGTGTTTACTTACACCCTCCTTAGCAGCCGAGGCAATCTTGCTTGCTCCAGTTGTAAAACTGCTCCATCCCTTTAAAAGAAAGCAAGAATGCACCAAGTTATTCGAATGCCAGTAACAGATGACAACCAAGTGTTCACTATTACATGCCAAATTAAGTCAAACTGTGCTCCAGCCTGTCCCATGGACATCAGAATCACCCACCAGTGACAGAAAAAATGGCAGTCTACCACTCAACTGTAAAACAGCAATGAATCTCCATTACCTGTGACAAAATGCTTCAGTGTGCAGAAATGTGAGTTTCAGCTGTTATTCTGTTAGACATGGCTGTGTGAAAATAAGCATTCTAAGAAACCAGCTAAAGAAAGTGAAGAAGGAGAATGATCCTAATCATTTTTTTTTAAATAAATCCCACCAAAGTACAGATGTTTTGTTTAAAGAGTGGATACTGAGGTAACACATTACATTTTAGGCTTCCTCACTGGGATGAATACACATAAATGCTTTAAAATCCCACTGTAATACGCATTCATGGTCAGAAGAGGGCATTTTAGTTGTGTTTCAATGACGTCATGTATTCCAATAACAGCTGACAGCCGTTTGGACAACACAGTGCCACCTCTTTTTTGCTGTCTAAGCACATCTGCAATGTATTATAGATGTGGCTCCTAACTTTAACTCTCTAGCCTACAGTCTACAACTTAACTAGAAATACAGCTTCTGAGCACATTAACACAAGAGATTTCTATGTCCAAATCACATGATGACACTCTCAGAAGACCACTGACCACTAACCCTGGTCAAAAACCTTACTACCTCTTGTCATGGTTTTGTGGAATACCGAAAACCAAAAGTCACATCATAACATCATGTGGGGCTCCAAAGTGACTCCAAATGCCAAATTTTGCCCTGCCCAGCTACTTTGCAGCATATGACAGCTGACTTTACTCCACGTTTCCTCCCAACGATGCAACTTTCACCATCTCTGCTTTACTCACGACAATGTATAGCCATATGCTGTTATGTTCTCATATATCCTTATTTCCTTATCTCTAAGAACTGATCTCAGATATGATGCTTCACTTTCCAAGCCCTCCAATATTTTTCTTGCACTGGGAACTGAACTACTGCTCTACATCTCCTTGTATCGACTTGCAGCCTTTAGTTTCCCTTGTCCATCTGCACTGCAATAACAGAGTTTGAAACAGAAGAAAATACTACTGCAGATCAAAGAAGTCTTTAAGTATTTTCTTACAGAGTACAGCGAAGACATGGCATTATTCAGGAAGTCATCCTCTTTTTTTGGAGGGGTTACTGTATTTCCAAACCCTACGTAGCGATTCTCTTGGCCGCTACAATAAGAAAAGGGATAAACAGGATCTGTATTAGCAGACTGAAATAAAGCAAGTCACTAATCAAAAATATAAAGCATAGAAGAATAATCATTTTGCAGACTTTAAAACACACTTGCAAGAAAAAGCCTGGTAGTGCTGACAGTATTACCAAAACACACCCAAATGCACCCAAAATACAAACCCACCCTCTTAACAGAAACTTAACACCAAAAAGGATCCACTGGTGAATCCTTGCTAATTAAGGCATCTCTTATGCAAGATAATGCCTGCTTAATGATTCTCCAACACATCACTCATATCAGACACTTAAGCAAACCATTACGAAGCAATATAAGAAAATGGGAGGAAGAAAGGAGAAGAATAGAATTACCTTTATAAATACCTCCAGACTAAACACGTTAGGATACTACATACACTAAGAATCACCTAATTTGGAGCCTATAGCATTTGGATGTAACTGTTCATTAGTATGGCCCAGTGAATCAGCATCACGACTGCACAGCTGTAGTGTAACATCCTGACTGCCAGGCACAAATACACAGTTAATAAATATTGCATACCCTTGGTAGGAGTTGACATCATCATTTAACCAGTCTTCAAAAGCCTTGTCAGAAGAGGCAGTTGCGTTCTGAGAAGGTCCAGCAGAGCTACTTCAACAAAAGATTTAAACAATGAAACCGTCCATAGCAGAAACCACTAGTTCAGCAATGTATTTTGTTGTGTACCATCACAAATCAGGTGTGAAATTGATTATTTCTTTGGTCTAGCACATAGGGAACTTTAATGTAACCACTAAAAGCCAATTTACAATTACTTTTTCAGTTAACTTGACTCCTTATTGCAAAAAAATAAACATATAGGCAAAGGCAGAAAAAAAGAACTGCTATCCAGCTTTGATGCTCATTAGTAGTTAGTGCCACAAGGAAAAGCCTGTTTCTTTTTCTCTGACACTCAATTGTGAACTGGAGCTGAACTGTAGTTAAGGTAAAGCAGTGACACATAATGCATGACTGACACAATGAATCTCAGGTGCATTGCAAGTCAAGACAGAAACAGGGCGTCTTGTTCTCCACTCCTTCTCAACTGTCTTGGGTGCAATTCTTTAAGATATGGCTGGAGGTGGGAGAAGGAGTTACAAGAACAGAAATTCTGCCTCCTCATATCCATAAACTTCAGCAAAATAAATGTTTGTTCAGACACCATCAATAGAATAAAAGCAGCAGACACTCAAACATCAGCAACAGCAGATTCAAAAGCTATACTGACAATAAATGACAACAGTGCATACCGATGGGTGGAAGAGAGAGACGTTTTAGGTTGAGGTGGTGTCCAGTTCCTGGCAGGAGAAGTTTCAAGGGACCACTCCTTGCCCTCAGCTACTGTAGCAACCTAAACGGGTAGGAAAACAATTAGAATTCCAGCTACAACTTTTCATGCTAGATAGGCACTGGTCCTATAAAGCAAGGACAAGTTGGCTTTCCACCTGGACACGCACAACAGAACTTACCTGATCTCTAAAAAGAGCTGCAGCTTTGCTGTTGTACTTCTCTTGCATTGACCAGCAGGGATCATAGTCATCCTGAGACTCCAAAAACTCTCGAAATTTGCTGTTACCTCCAGCCTTCATTTTCTCCAGCTCAATATCTTTCCATTTGTCCATAGTTACAGAACGCACAAAACTGAAAATCAGGTTACAAAATAATATAAAAATCAATGCTTGCTTCAACTTCCTGATACATCAGCAGGGATAAAAAAAAAAAAGGATGGGGGTATAGAAATGTTAATAAATACTCTCAAAGCACGGAAAGAAAGCGTGTCTTAAGAAGGTGGTCAAATCCTCATTGAAATAAACAAAAGATAAAGCGCTGGCACTTAAAAAATGCTGTCAAGAGAAGGAAAGTGGCAGAAAAAGCAGCTTCCTCCAACGAGCCAGGAAACACAACATGTTGTATAGAAGAAAATTTCACTTGGAAGTTTTCCTTTCCCCAACTACTTTCAATGTTACATGTGAGTGCCCTGCAAAGCACTTCCTGCCCCTGCTTCATGCTTCTGCTCATAATGACCACCAGGTATGACAACTCAACTGCCTAACACAGCCTGTGCTAACACCTACCATGACCTCATCCCAGAGCATTCATGACTTCAATGAACACGCCAGCTCTGCCTTGGGCCATAAATCCTTGCTACTGTTCATTAAACTATATTAAAACAAAAAGAAAGTTAAGGTCACAGCCTCCGTTTGGAGACACTGCTTTCTGGACCTGGGCACCACGTATCTGCACCAATGCAGCACAGATTCCAGCTAATGTCAAAGAAAGCAAAGAGAATAAAGCTCACTTTGGAGAGGAGCATAAAGCAGAAGTGCTGAAACTGAGATACCCTCCACCCCTCCACCATCATCCTTTCTGTTCACAGCCATAACACCTCCCAAAGAAACCCAACTGAGTGCTTGTTTGCATGCAGGGCTGACCTGAGGTGGACCCCCAGGCCTCGGTGCTTTCCTGAGCACTCCAGACAGATCCAGATTCCATAAGTCACACTCACCCACTGGGGGTTAAACGCACCGCATTCAAAGCAGACCTGCAAGAGAGAAAGCAATCACCTCTAACTCATAACCAGGTTTCACCCATGTGGAAGTCCCCAAACCACAGCTCAAATAGTTGGGCCATGAAACTGTGTTGTGAGGGAATTAAGTTCAGCAGGGAAAGTTCTTTGTGCTGGAACCACCACCCCAAGAGCATCAGCTTCCCTTAAATGTTTATTTATGCTGAATGGAAAGCATTCACCTACCTGAGTTGTATTATAAAACAGCCACGTACCAAACCCCAGAATGGAAAGACATAAACAAAAATGAAGCTGTCTGTGGGCTATTGCATTTAAGGCAGCATCCTATCAAGCTATTTGAAACAGACAGTTTTAATTAAGTTATACCAAAGACATTGCTTGCTTGGACTCTAGGGTTTATAGCACTTAAAGCCCCTGAAAGCCTTCTGCCAAACACACAGCCACGTGTTACAATACATGTATGAATAAATGTTACTAGAAGTAATGTGAATACAAGAGATCCATATTTCTCTGCTACTATTAGTTAGACATACAGGTGCTACAAATAGGTTAGCTTGTACAGGCAGCAGCTGTATGTGGAGCAGACAGAAAGACAATTCAGCTCTGGGAATCAACAGCAGAATAAGAGTTTTCTCACATTGTTCTCATCTTGTGCTCTGACTTCCTTGAGAACTTTCCTCGTTCTTGGACTTGCCATGATTCTACAAAAGAAGAAAAAAAGAAAAACCAACAAGATCTGAGTCATACTAAAGAGCTGGATACTGATGTGATGCTCAGTACCACAAATGCATAACCTCGATGATAAAAAGCTAACGAACAACACCACGGAATCGACGGGGAATAAAGAAGACAAAAGAAGTATCCACGACTCTGCCTTTCCGTTTACTTCGTACAGTGTGGGGAGTTTTAGTCATCCTACCTCATCTGTTGGAAAGCTGTAATTCAGCCACAGCTGAGCAGGCAAGGGAAGAGAAACAGAACTCCTCCTCCTATGGCCACATCCTGCCAACCTGACACCCACTGGTGCCACCCGCTGCCCCTTCCAAAAGCACTACATGGTTCCATGGCGCCTTACACACAGAAATGCACCAACCAAAGCACAAAACGACACAGCCTCTGATGCTGAGGAGATGCTGAACGCTGCTAAAAGAGCACTTGATGGGAAGACACAAAAAAGATCCTTGTTTTATCAGAAGTACTGAGTTTCCTTATCAATTAAGTTCTGAGAAAATAACGCGATTATTGGACCCTTTTGCCCAAAAAAAGAATTTGAATTCCAGTGCAGACCAAATCACCTCACTCTGTTTTTCATGGCGCGTGAAATGCAGCTGCAGGGAGCAATGGCAAGCTACAGATACAATTCACACGAAGAAAGAGGAGTGACTCACTCACAGTATATAGCCTGGAAAAACCAAAGGACACAAAATGCTCATGACTGGAAAACTAAATACCAAAAGCATAAAATCCTACCAGTAAGAAAACTGACATTAAATCTGTATGAATGAGGCAATGTCAATTTATTGCTTCCCTGTGAATTCCAGCCACAGCAGTGCAACAGAACAGTGCAAATGTAATTACACACATCACCAGCTAAGACAACAGGGCTCAGAAGGAAATAAACCCAAAATACTATCTATTTGTTACAAAAGCAGAGGTTATCTGTGGCAGAACTCACTGGCTTTATGAAAAGCATCCATTCCTCTGTTAACATTTTGAGAAGCACTTAATTCTGTGTAATTTAAGGGACAGTATATGAACCAGGCACCCTTTGCAGACCAAGCCAATGTCTGCACCACTCAAGTGGTCACAGACTGCACAAGTTTCAAACCTTTGCCTCCCAGCTGACAGAGGATAGGACAAGGGGGACTGGTTTTAAACTGACACAGGGGAGGTTTAGGTTGGATATTAGGAGGAAGTTTTTCCACACAGAGGGAGGTGAGGCACTGGAACAGGTTGCCCAAGGAAGCTGTGGATGCCCCATCCCTGGAGGCATTCAAGGCCAGGCTGGATGTGGCTCTGGGCAGCCTGGTCTGCTGGTTGGCGACCTGCGCACAGCAGGGGGTTGGAACTGGATGAGCATTGTGGTCCTTTGCAACTCAGGCCGTTCTATGATTCTGTCATTGCTGCTTTTTTTTGTATAAAATCCTTTATCAAAAGACCTTTGGCCGACTGCAGATTGAACGTATGTCCGTGCCGGAGACATGAGCTTCCCCCATGAAAGCCATCCACAAAAGGAGTCCAGTACAGCTTCCCACCTTTCAAAAGTCAAGCTCCAAGCTTTGTAAGAACAGGAATCACCTTCAGAGCTGCCAAGCCTGCTTCCAGTTATATTCACCACAAACAGTAAGGGATCTCATTATCACAGGTTACTTGAGCCACAGAAGCTGGCTGGGCACAAAGCCCCTCTGCAGCTTATTTCCAAGGAAGGACTGAGCTACATACCTGAAATGAATATTATTGTCATCTAATGCAGCAAACAAAGCGTACAGCTTAGGAATGTTTCCACTGATGGGTATAAATACCTTGGACTAGAGGTTGCAAGGTGGAAACATGCAGTTGCAGGCAGCTCAGCCTCGCATACTTATTTCCCAGCCAAACAGTTTGCTTCCAGAGCAATAATCACACAATGCACAACCTGGATTTCTATGCTAAGAATCTCCAGCATGCTAAAAAGTCGGTGTGAGCTGTAACAGGACCCCATGGCACCGCTGAGGTTGAACGAGAGCTCCCGGATCCCCAACCCAGCACCACACCCAGTAACCACATCCCTGAGCGCCACATCTCCACGTCGGACACCTCCACAGACGGCGACCCCGTACCCAGGGCAGCCGCGCCACGCATCATTTGGAGATGCCCCCTAACGCCCAACCTGGCACAGCCCGACCCCCCGCCCGGCTCCAGCCTCCTGGCACAGACACCCCGCAGGCCGTGCCGGCTGACAAACGATGCCAACGGAGCAGCCGCCAGGGCGCTGCTCCAGCCTGCAGGGCTGCTCACCGAGCACCGCGCGGGGGACGCGGGGCGGACGGTTCCTCCACCGAGAGCCGCGAGCTGCACCGCGCGGATCCGAGGCGAGTCCGGGAGAACCGCTTCAGAACATGGCCAGCTTCCAGCCACCTCTGGGAAAGAAAAGCAGAGACAGATATAGCAGAAGGGCTAAAGGGCGCCCGGCCGGGCCCGGAAAGGAAGGAACGGAGCCGCACGCACCGGCACAGCACTGACGCGGCGGCCGCTCCGGTCCCGCCCGGCGCCGCACGGCGCAGCCGCCGCTCACGGCACGGACGGCGACGTTGCAGCGCCGCGAGGAATTGTGGGCGCCGGGTTAACCCGTTGTGTGCCGGGCGGGGGGAGGCGGTGAGACGTGGCGGGGTGAGCGGCGGCTGCGGGGGGAATCTGCGGTGGTGGGCAGTGAGATAGGAGGCAGCGTCCGACGCGGGGTGGGAATGGTGACGTGGGGAAGCGGGGGGGCGAAATGGCAAAAGAGATGTTGGAAGAAATATTGGAAAACTTTTTTTTTTTTCTTTTTTCCTCCCCTTTTTTCCCCCTTTTTTCTTTGTTTTTTTTTTTTTTTTCCTTTTTTATTTCTTTTTTTCTTTTTTCCTTTTTTTTTCTTATTCTTTTATCTTTTATCTTTTATCTTCTTTTTTCTTTTACTTTTTTCTTTTTTTTTTTCCTTTTCTCCTCTTCCTTTTCTCCTTTTCCCTTTCTCTTTTTCCCTTTCTCTTTTCTCTTTTTCCTTTTTCTTCTCCCTTCTTCCTTTCTTTTTTTACTTTTCTTTTTACTTTTTTTTTTTTCTTCCTGTTTTCTATGTTGTGTGAAGGTTGAATCTCTTTTGAATTAAAAACACTCATCAGAACCGCTGCTTTTCAAGACACGCTATTGTCCTATAATCCTGCTTTGGGTCAAGGAGATATTTTAAAATGTTGCATCATTTTTAATAAGGGGAATCATAGAATCATAGAATCACAAGGTTGGAAACGACCTATAAGATCATCCAGTCCAACCATCTCCTCATCACCATTGCCATTTGTGTCAACTAACCAGACCCCAGCCCAGCCCAGCATGCAGGCTCCATTTGGTGCCATCTGAATCCCCGTGCTTGGTGATGGCCTCGTGCTGCACCAGGTGATCAGATTAGATATTAGGAAACATCTCCAAAAGAGCAGTGATGCAGTGGCACAGCTGCCCAGGGGGAGGTGAGGTCACCATCCCTGAAGGTGTTCAGGATCACAGAGATGGGGCAGTGAGGGATGGGGGCAGTGGGCACGGTGGGGTTGGATGTGGGTATCTTTCCAACCTCAGTGATTCTGTTGGCACTGGAGGGCAATTTCCATACCTTGCCACCCGGCAGTGCCCTAAAGGTGATGAGAAATCAAGTATGGATAAGAGAAGGTGGAAGTGCTTTGTGATGGTTGCAGACAAGTGCCTGGAGAGCGCATTGATAATAATCACTAATTTATTTTTAATCAGCAGCCGTAGACAGGCCGGAGCAAAGCTTTAACATTTACATATGAATCCCACGGAGACAATATGCTGCTGGTTTTCAGTATAACTCCTATCTGGCCTCCCTGCTTAATAAGTAGGCTGTTATCTTACCATCGGTGCAGGAGAGATTAACAAGAGCTATTTTCATTAACATTAACGGCAGCTACACATAAGGCCCCTGCATCAACAAGAAGATAACGGCCGTCAATGTGTGCGCATTCGAAGGAGAGAGGAGGGGGGGGTGTGAAACATAAAGAAAATTCTACTTAGATAATTTGCTCTTCCAGTTAAGGACAAAGTGGGCTCTTCTGATAAGCACCGTTATTTTCTGGTAAACACGAACCAGTGGACAATGAGGTTCCCATCATGCACACACTGTATTAAAAGATCTAATGAGGATGTTAATCTCGGTTCTTCTGTCCAAGCGATAGAACCGGTGGCTTTGGGCTCGCATCCCACATTCGGTACTTGTGCTCGCAGCCTCAGGGGAGCAGTGTTGGGCAACGTTTTCCATCCATAACGATGCTGCACTGAGTTCCTGATGGCTGCTGCTTGTTTCGTATCCCAAATACACACTTTCGTCTTCCTGGGCCCAAAACTGCTGCTACCAACCAAGAGCGAGCAGTGCTGCTGTGTTCACACTGCGAGTTGCCCTGAGCCAGCATCATCGTTAACCTGTTGGTGTGTGCTGAGATAGAAGGGGCAAAGGCTGCAGGATAGGGCTGGTTTTCAGCAGGAATGAAAGGAAGCTGCAGGCATCTGCCTTCCTTCGCAAGCACATAAGTGCACGCCATTCCCTGGCAAATCCAGTTTGCTCTGTTCCCAGAATTTGGGCTGGCTGCATAGCTCTCTTCCCATCTCTGCAATCTGTGGCAAATACCTATTATAAGATAATATAGAATGCCATACTAATAATATTTACAAAGGCATCCTTCACCGTATTCCCAGCTCATCTCTTTCTCTAGTTATGAATTGGTTCTATCATGAAATTCCTCATGTTTTTTGCACAGTTGCCATTGCTGTAATTGTTACGTCCTGAGTCACCCACATACGAAATGCAGCAAGGAACAAATTATAGGATAACATAAGAAAACAGAAGGCAGGGACAGTCTCTTCCATGCCGAACTTTTTCAGATGGAATTAATTTTACTTGGCTACAAAATGTAGTATCCGTAGCATCTCTAAGTTGACTTGTTCAGTGACACCCCTGTTGGATCAGTACAGTGCTCAGTACTGGCAGCATTTGGCAGGGTTAGGAAACCATACGCTCCTGTCTTGGTTACTTTTTTAAAGGGATGAGTTTGAGAAGCTTGTGTGACTTTAGGGGGTGTCCTGTTTTTATAGGTCCTGGTAGGAGATCGTTCCCACTCACATGTTGAGATAGATAAGTCTTCTCCAACTTGGTGGTTCTCTGATTCTAAGGAATATTTCCTGCCATGGGATGGAACATCAGTTCTTCTCAAACATTTATTTTGTATTATTATCATTATTTAATGCCTTTTAAAATTATTTAATATTAAATAACATTTACATGTTATTAGTTATAGCATTCAGAGTTATTGCTATTCATTGCACTTGGCAGCCAAAACACAGCAGCCTCACCAAACAACAATGGCTATTGCTACTGGCTGTGGAAATGCAGCTGGGAGTGCATGGAGCTGGGAGTGCATGGAGCTAAGAGTGCATGTTGGTGTGTGTGTTTGCATCATCAGTATGGCACTGAGGCATCCTTGGTGTTCCTGCGGTGACACTTCATAGCTGGAGCCAAAGGAAAGCTGCAGCAGCAACTTGTGTTTGGAAAGCCTCACCAGATCTTCTGCCTACACACATTTCTAGGTCTTTCTTAGGTGTTAGTTGCTCGTGCTGGAACAAGTATAGCTGACACAGGGCAGAAAGCAGCTCTATCCCATGTACATGTGTTTAATTGGCTAGGGAAAGTTTGCCACTGATTCCTAAGCAGACAAGGGAAGCTGCTTGTCTACAAGAGAGCTCCCACATGGCTGCCCCAAATCAGGGGCTGCTCTCGCCCTTCTGGCTCTTCTTTGTGTCCTATCATTTGAGAAATGCAACTGTTGCATGGCAGCCTCGGGCGATCACTTGGTGTCAATACCCGTGGATTTTAGCAGCTGCAATGAGTTACTTCTTGGTCACACTGCCTCATGAAATTGCAGCTGGAAATGTGGCTGCAATCATGCCAAGGACTCAGATTGCAGGGCAGCGATGTCAGCTGCCACAGCTTGCTTCTCCAATGGGAATTAACTCTTTGGGCACTCCCTCCTCTCTGCTCCAGGCCATTCCTTTGGGAATGTGGGTGTGCAATCCCAAGGAGGAAAAATGCATCTCAGTGTGATACCAGTTGTGTTTCCTTCATGCAAGCCCTTGCTGTGAAGAAGGGATGTGCATGGGGTGGGTGTGGGCAAAGCGCTGTCCTCGCTGTGTGCTCTGAATCCTCCTTCCACCTCTGCCATCCTCCACTTCATCATCAAACAGTGATGGAAATGCGCTGTGTGGCTCAGCAAGGTAATGTTAGGGAATTACAGATGCAAAATGAGGTGTTGAAATGCCACAGAAGCTGATTAGAAGCTGTCCCCTCCCAGCAGCAAAGGTTTCACAGGGATCAGAAAGAAAACAACAGAATTCACACACCAGTTGTGATGAAACTTAAGATCACCGTTGGCTGTTGGGAACCTATTTTGAGGCATGAAAGTCATTGGGATTGTTTCCTTTCTAATGAGGACGATTTTTAAAACACTGTGCTTTGCTGTCACAGGTCTGTCTCATTTTCTACAACGCATTTGCCACCACTCTTAAGCTTTCTTCTCCTTTGGTAGCGTTGGCTGCAGCTGGCCTCCGTCCCAGAGCAGCTCCCTGGACATTATCCCAGGTAATGAGAGCTTTAAGAAATTACAAAATTAAAACTAGAAGATCAAAAGTCCTTGCCCTTTATTACATAATCTCTCTCCCTTTCTAGCTAGCTCAGTTATCCTTTCCTATGTAAAACAGTCTTCTGTGGAACAACACAAAGCCCAGTTTCTGGAGTGGTGGCACGTCTGGTCACCATGAATGAGTGCTGTCACAGCATCCAACGTATTCCCCAGGATTTGCCCTCATCCATTCATTCTGAATGTCCACAGTGTCCTGGAGCAGCTCGCCCAATTCTTACATAAGGGCTCCCAACCTATCGTGCTGAACACGTTCCTCTGTCAAACTGTGCTGTGCGCAATGGAAAGGAGCCATCAATCAGAGGACTGGCAGTGAGCTTTACTTCCAATGTGTGACAGAAGAATAGGATGTGACGTGCCACCTTGGAAAGGCTGTCCTGAGCAGGGGAGCACACAACACAGGGACAGGCATGTGCTGCCTTTGGATGTGGCACTGTGGCTGTGGGTCTCTGGAACAGTGTTTGTAGCTGAGGATCATCCCTTGTGGCTTTCAAGCAGCCCTTTGTGGTGGCCCATGGCACATCACTGGTGGCACAGTGGTGTTGACACTGTGTTTGGCAGCCTCTGGACTGCTCCATCCAATGATGCCTCATTAATCCACTTGCTAATTCAATATACTACCTAATGAAGATCCATTATTATTATTATTATTATTATTTGGTCTTAGCTCCAAATTCAGCTAAGTTAATATTTATTCACATTGAAATAAGGAATTTTCCAGGAGTCCACAGGATGCTTTTCAACTGACTTGCAAAGAGTAACCCAAAGCCCAGCCCTGCTGTCGGGGTGCTCAGGCTGCGTGCATCTCCTCTGCTGTG